CTTAGTAACTTGTTTTGTAAAATATTTCTAAAACCGTATTTTCAATGTGGACTCATACACAGTCAGAGGGTTAAAAACCAAAAGCTCTGATACCAATAAATGTAACCCCCTAGACCCGGCCTATGCGTTTTGACTAAGTCTAGTGGATCACATACATGATTCTTAAAGACATTTTCTGAAACCGTTATTCAATCAATGTAAAATCATATTATAATTGACATGATATTATACTATCAAAACTCAACTCATAAATATAATATCAATAAGTAATAAATTAATTTAAAACATGTCTTAAAAATCATAATCACGATAAACCGGATATTAATAGCAAAAGTGTAATCACTATAAAATCCAATACTTTAAAATAAGGTCTACGTCACCAAAATAAAGTCAACCTGAAAGATAAAAACATTATAATCAGATATACTTCAAGAGATATGTTGATCCTCCAAGTGCTCAATCTGGGGTATCTAACCAACAGTATCTGAAAGGGGAAAAAACATTTTCGAAAAGTGAGCTAGGCTCAGTGTGTCCTACATTACCATAAAATCACAATAGGTACAATAAACAAATCATAGTCCAGTAAATCTCATAAATTCATAAAAGAGTTTAACTTTTGAAAATCATAGTTTAAACTCTTTTCTTGTACACCATCAGTAATTTCTAAAACTATTTTCCATATAGCTTACTCTAAGCACACAGCAAAAAGAAAGCCAACCTAAGGATAAGCTTTAGATCTTGTATCCTTAGGCCCGTATGTCCAAGTTCATATAGCTTACCCTAAGCACACAGCAAGGGAAGCCAACCTAATGTATCTTGGGGCCCCGAGAGTCACATTAGGCCCATTCTGTTTATTAGCTTGATCAGAGCTATACTATTTAATTCAATCCAAAAGTTCAATTGCACCGTGACACAAATTCCATAAATCATCACATTAAATTGGTGCATCAATAAAATAGTAACCAAAGAACTCAGTGTACCTCATATTAAAACCAATAAAACAGTTCAGTAATAATTAGGGAACACACCTCGATAATAGGTTCAAATAGTAGATCTACTGATTGTTGGTTTCACCACGCTCTGCTACAGTTTTCGAACCTAATTTATAATAACACTATATTACTAATGGGTAACATAAATAAATCTTTAAAATCATAAAATTTACGGGTCTTACGGGTGAATACTGGCATACGTGGTTTAATTGATCTAGAAGAGCTGTGTCGAGCTGTCGAACGATCCGAAGAGTCTCTTGTACCTTCAAACAATAATAATTTATCAGCCCCAAAATCCTACTTAATTGTTCAAAGATAAAATTCTTAACTATATAAGCATTTTCAGGGTTTGACTATCAATTTGAAGGATTTCGGGCTTGAATTTGGCCAAGCGGATTGCGGAATCGGAATCAGGAGTCGAAAAACATAAAGTATGACTTTTTGAAAATTTAAATTCTTGGTCAAAGTCAAAGTCAACAACTTTGACCATCGATTTGGAGACCTTCAGGTTCGAATTTGACGAAACAGATTTGGGACGTCGAAAACTATCAGAATAGGTATACTCGGAAAAGATTAACGATCATTTAAAGGTCGGTCAAAGCCATTTTAAGTTTTGGCCAAAGGAAGTTAACGGTCAGGTCGAGTCAACGGTCGGGTCGGGTCGGTCAAACCGGTCAGATCAGTTCAAACCGGTTAAACCGGTCAAAAACCGATTCAAAACCGGTCAAACTGATTTTCAGCCACTCACTCTCCCTGCGGCGACGCGTGTGGCACGTGAGGCCTCCTCCGGGGGTCTAAAAATTATTTTGAGCGATTTCGAGATACTTACAAAGATCGGTTCAAATTTTTGAACGGCGGAGAGCTCAATTTCAACTCGGCCAAATCTTTGACTGCTCCACCTCCTCACGCGCCGCCGTCGATGGAGACTAAGGTTGACACCAGCGGACTCGAAACGGCACAAGGAACACGATGGTGCGGGAGGTGTCGAAAACCGATCAACGATCGGAGATGAATTTAAGATTTTCTCGGCGGTAGTGCTAAAAAAAACGTCGAGACTTTGACTCGAAATTCACGTCGTTTGGCAGTTTTTCGCTATAATTGATTTACTGGGTTTTGTTCACGGGTCGAAGATGAACACGACGGTGGTTTCAATTTTACAATTGGAGGTCGAACGGCGTTGGAAACGGGCTTGGAAGTAAGGGTACAAGAGGAGGAAATTTGAGCAATTATCATTTGTGTTTCCTGGTTTAAAACCAGAAAACACGCTTATAATACCAATCCTGCAGACAGTTTTAGGGGAAATTCAGGGCTTGGTTCTTGAATTTCCTTTACTTCAAAAATGGCCTACAAGTTTTCATAAATTTTAATTTAGTCACTTAATTTCACCCAATTACACCAATTTAAATTGTTTTTTTTCCTCGGGTTGTTACAAAACCAGTTTCATTATGACAAAAATGATAAAATTTACATGATATGTTTAAAGTATCGATCATTTTATAAAAAAGATAGATACTTTACAATATAACATGTAAAAATATGACAAAACAGTTTCATTATGACAAAAACGGTAAAATTTACTTGATATGTTGAAAATATCGATCCTTTTATAAAAAGGATAGATACTTTACAATATAACATATAAAAATATGACAAAACTAGTTTCATTATTACAAAACCGGTAAAATTTACCTGATATGTTGAAAGTATAAATACTTTTTATAAAAATAATCGATATTTTTTTGAAAGTTATGTAATTTATGTCTCAAATTTTTTTAATAGTGTTTCATGTTTTCCACCTACAATATTAATTTAATAATTTTATTTACACAAAAAAATATTTGATTGTTTTGATATTTTATAAAATATTATTTAGAATTTAAATTTAACAATTTTAACCAAATATAATAAAAAATATATAATATCTATGTTTATTGTTTTTAATTTAATAATAATATATATCGTAACATAAAAAAATAAATCATTAGACGCATATAATTACTAAATTAATATCTTAAATCTCACTCATAACCTTAAATTAATATTTTTCACAGTGAAATACCTACCTATTAAATTAAACTACCTATCAGATATGTTGAAAGTATCGATCCCATTTAAATAAGTATCGAAACTTTTAGAATTTAAAAGAAAAGCAATAATAGCGCCTATAAAGTATCGATACTTTATAAAAATGTATCGATATTTTACAATATAACAGGTAAAAATATGACAAACCAGTTTTATTATGACAAAAACGGTAAAATTTACCTGATATGTTGAAAGTATTGATCATTTTATAAAAAAGATAGATACTTTACAATATAACATGTAAAAATATGAAAAAATTAATTTCATTATGACAAAAAGGGTAAAAATTACCTGATATGTTGAAAGTATTGATCCTTTTATAAAAGTGATCGATACTTTACAATATAATATGTATAAATATGACAAAATCAGTTTTATTATGACAAAACCGGTAAAATTTACCTGATATATTGAAAGTATATATACTTTTTATAAAAAGGATCGATACTTTTTTGAAAGTTATGTAATTTATGTTTCAAAAATTTTTAATAGTGTTTCATGTTTTCCAGCTATAATATTAATTTAATAATTTTATTTACCAAAAAATTATTTGATTGTTTTGATATTTTATAAAATATTATTTAAAATTTAAATTTAACAATTTTAACCACAAATAATAATAAATATGTAATATTTATGTTTATTATTTTTAATTTAATAATAATATATACCGTAACATAAAAAATAAACCATTAGACGCGTGTAATTACTAAATTAATATCTTAAAACTCTCTCAAAAGATAATCTTAAATTAATGTTTTTCACAGTGAAATAAGTATGTACACTTATATATATATAGATACTTATCGATAACCAAAGTTTACCCGTTACAAAATTTTTTAATAATTTTTTATGTTTTCTACCTAAAACATTATTAGTCTGTCAACATAATAAATAACATTAAACTTAATTTTTTAAATATCTTTTAATGTATATAGTAATACTATATATTAACCATATATTAATCGACTTTCATGAGACAATCCCGGATTAACAAGCCAGAATGAAATCCAACCAGTATCAGCGCAATTAAGGACGCAATGCAGTCCAAACAACAGTGAGAAAGTTGGAGGAAGAAAAAGGACGAGAAAAGATTTTTCAAAGAGTAAACTACAAGTTTAATATTTAAACTATTACTTATGTTTTGTTTTAGCACTTAATTTTTTTTTTTCAAAATTATGCATAACATTTAATTTAAGTTTCAATTTTTTACCTACCGTTTAAAAATTAATAGAATTATTGACGTGATATTTTTTAATTTTTTCAATGATGATGTAGAATCAACTTATGGTGACATGTTAACATGTTTTTAATGGCAAGACATCAAAATGACTTATAAACTGAATTTTAGGTATGAGTTTCAAAAATAATAAAGTTTGGGTGAAAAAGGAAAATAAAAGTAATAGTTTAATTACTACGTAAGTATATTACTCCTTTTTCTAAATAAAGAAATGAGGGTATAATGGGGAAACAAGAAAAAGACACACTAATCAAAGAAGCCCAGATTTGGCGGGGCATTGCTTAAGTTGCAGAGAGAGAGAGAGGGTGCTTTTTCTTGCTCGTTTCTGACAATATTCTCTCACTGTTCCTTGGCGCTCGTGCTTATATTTTGTTTTCTTTATTTTTTTAAAACTTAATTTAATAAAAAATGTTCTAATTTAACCCCTCTTCTCTTATTCTTTAATTTCTGATCGATTTAATTTGAAAGGAACTACATTTGTCTCTGAAAAGGCTAGAAAGCGAGGATGAAAAAACAATTTATTAGGATTGTTTGACATTTAATACTATTTTTCTATTCCCCAAAAAAGAGTAAATCACCGTTCTCTCCTAACTCATCACAACAGTGCAGATTACAGTGTTTTACTCGTGGGTTTGTGTTTTTAAATGGAAAACAAGCTTTTGGACTGTTAAAAAAAAATGGGAAACTTTGTTGGGTTTTTCCCATTTTGATACTTTCTTCTACAAGTGTATTGTTGGTTACAAAAATCTGACCTTTATTTTGAGTAGCGAGTGAAGTAAAACACTTTGTGATTTCACTTTTTTTGCTTTGGGGTTGTGGGGTTTGAACTTTTGGTCACTGTAAATTCTCTTGTTGGGGACTTGCGTCTTAGGGAAAAGGTAATATTTGAAAATATTTGGGGTTTCAAAGCGTTTCTTGTTCTTGCTTAGCGCTGTGCTTCTTTTGCAAGCTTCAATGTTGAGGATTTATGGGTTTAATGGAAGTTTCGAAGTGAATTTCTCTTCTTTATTGCCGTTTTCAAAGGTTTAAGTGCTTCTGCTCATGTATCAATTGCATCTAAAGAAGTTTTTTCAGTTGATTTTCTTGTTTTAAGGTGAGATCTTCAGGGTCTTTAGTTCATCAGTTGCTTAAATTATGTTCAAAGAGTCTGGATTTTACTGCTGGACATTTTGTGGCTCAAATTACTGTTTCTACACTTGGCATTTTGGCTTCAAGGTCTGACATTTGTCCAACCAATGCTGTTTACATTTTCTGCAATCAGAATATTGTTGTTTGGTTAAAGACTTGCTTAGCATCTTGGTGTAATTCTGGGATCTAGAGGTTTAATTTTTAGTTGATTGCTAGAAAGTGTAAAAGAGATGGATTTTTTGAAAATTAAGAGGTTTAGGAAAGTCCAGAAACCAGATCCTGAGAAGGGTTTGGTGGATAATAATGTGACACAACCAGAACTGAAAGATGATAATGATGATGGTGACATTGGTGTAAATGGATCATCCAAACCTGATCTTGCGGCATCGGACGTCGAGGATGACGAAGACGATGATTTTATAACAAACGAGGTGAAGAGTAGATTGAAAGAACTAAGAAGAAACAGTTTTATGGTGTTGATTCCCGAGGAGGAGGAAGAGGAGTTGTACCCCGAGGATGACGAAGCCGAGGCCGGTGAGACCAGCTCGAGTGAATGGAGGGATGTGGAAGCAGAAGGCAGAGAGTGGTGGGGTGGATTTGATGCTGTTTATGAGAAGTATTGTGAGCGAATGCTGTTCTTTGATAGGATAATTGCACAAGAGGTCAAGAATGCTGGTAAATATTTCCATTTTCTCTGTTTCATTGTCGAATCTTATACCGTATGAAGCATCTGCTAGCCTTTAATACAGCAGGAACATATTGTTAGCTGCATATTAGGTGGACATGTTGTTTCCTGATTGACAGAAAATTTTAATTATAAGTGCCTTTTTTTTGCACTTGCATGAAGAACAATTTAGGATGTCCAAATGTATAAGGTCTTAGTGTGACGGGGCATGGTTTAGGTATCATGCGTCTCCCCTATCTTTTTGGGATGTGAGTCTCCATCAAGTTACTTAAGAAACAATAATGTCTGAATTAGTGGACTGAATCATCTTGCGAGGAATGTAACTATGTTGAGTATTGGTTTATTGATCAATGCCATCTGCTCATATCACAAAAAGTGTTTTCCCGGAACTCAATATGTTTGATTCTTGGTGGTTCACTTAAATGCTGGGAATAGGGATCAATCCAAGGTTAATTGCTGTCATACTCGGTCGATTTAGTAGTTTATCATTTTCCTACTTCACTCTTTGCCTTCAGGCTGTTACCTTATTTATGTCCATGAATCGTATGCGTAAACGATGAATACTATTTGTTGGCAGTGTCCTTTTTTCTTAAAAATATTTTTCCTTCAAGAAGAATAGTACTAACTGTGGGATCATTGGGGCTTAAAAAGTTTTTTATTTAAGCTGTTGCTTAGAGTAGATGTGTCATTCTCATGGAAAATAATCAATTGGCTTACAGGCTCTATAAATCCTTCACCAAAATCGGCATCTAAGAAACATGCATCACCTCTTAGTTGCCTTTCCTTGAAGAAGATTGAGGAACCCGATGAGGAAACCGAGCAACTGCAGCAGCCGACAAACGACCCATATCATGACCTTGAGGTAGCATATGTGGCTCAAATTTGCTTAACTTGGGAGGCATTTCATTGCCAATACACACAACTTAGCCAGTTAGTTTTGTGCCAACCCGATAATCCCGCTTATTACAACCACAGTGCTCAACTCCTTCAACAGTTCCAAGTCTTATTACAAAGGTTCATTGAAAATGAGCCTTTTCAGGATGGTCCTAGAGCTGAAATATATGCCCGCGCTCGGCATGTTTTGCCTAAGCTTCTTCAAATCCCAAACATACAAGGTAATTCTTTGAGGATCAATCTGGAAAAAGTAGTAAACTTTGGTATCTTGACTAAATTTCTTATTCAGTTTAGAAATTGAACAAAGAAGGATGTTTCTATTTGCTTTTGCTTCTAGGTTAATTTTTTTGAATCATTTCAGGTAGGGATCAGAAGGCTAAAGTGGAAGACGAATCCGATTATTTGGTCATCGCTCCTGATATCATTAGGATTATCGATAGCGTAATCCTTACATTCCAGCTGTTTGTAAAAATTGACAAGAAAAAACATACTCTGTTTGGAAATCAGAATCCGATGGCTACCCCACTTCAACAAGTTAAATCTTTATTAGAAAAGGTAACTTCATTCTACACTATTCATTTCATCTCCTAGGATACCACTTGATTACACAGCACGGCCTGCGTACCTCGAACTAGTTATATGGATTATCACAATCCATCGAAACTGCAGATCAATTCCTGCCTCTTCATTATCAGTAGTTCATTTGCTTCGATTGCTTTGATCTATGCAAGTTTTTGGTCTATCGACATTACTTTATTAATCCATCACCTGCATCATTTGTATTCAAATATGTTGCACTGACTCTTCATTTTCCTTCTTTTTGCCTGGCACCATATTTGACAAATTCGAACTTGCATATCTCATCGGTCAATAGAATGGTGATGTTCAAACGACCAATCATATGGATTTACTCATTATAACCTAGGATGTTCTACAATGTTTTCATTTCTATCTGCAGAAAGCGATGAAGCTGAAGGAACTGCGTAAAAAGAGAAAGGGGTGGAAAAAGAAATCCTGGCCACCAACACCGGAAGATGTTCCATTGTTGTTTGCTCTCATTGATGTCAATATTATATCCCGGGTTCTCAGAATGGAAAAGATCAGTAAAGAGCAGTTGTTTTGGTGCGAAGAAAAGATTAAAAAACTAGATTTGTGTGACGGGATGTTGCAGAGAGACCCGTCGCCCATCCTTTTCCCATGCTAATTGCTGTTATCAACAGAGTGGTTTAACGGACGGATAGCTGCCGAAAGACCCCTCTCTTTATCATACAAAACTAGGGTTGTTACTAATTTTCTCCTGGGAATGCTGTTGACAACATGATGCATTGCCATTTCCCAGTTTTTGTTGATTAAACTAGTTGTGATTTAAGGATGTGTGGTTGTCCTCCTAACCGAAATTTTCGAAAAGTAGAGTGGCCTTGCTGCAATATTTTCCCAGGTATTTGTAGTTGTCCATTAAGCAAGTGTTGTGTTTAAGTTGTATTTAAGACATTTGAACTTCATCAACCTTTTGATGTCTCAGAATTAAGATGTATGTTGTGGATATTGTCTGAGAAGTAATATATAATATATATATTCTGTAAACTATACTTTTGATTTGGTTTTCTCAAATTTCGAATTGATTTATAATAAAATCATTACTTGTTTGAACGGGCGAGCTTATTATATATGAAATATATATAAAATAATTCATAGTAACTCGTCGTTAATATTTTAATATGTGAATATTTTAAAAAAAATTAAATTTTAAATACATAATAAGGGATTTGATATAATTTATTCGCGTTATATGAGGCTTTCGTACTTTTAATTTTAAAAACAATCAATGTGGTCCTTTATTTTTTACGGCCAATATGACCCTCAAATTTCAAAATTATACTTAATGTGATCTTTTGATAAACGATTTTTATCGTTTATCGTTACGATGCTAACGTAGTATTTCACGATGTTGATGTGTAATCCACGGTCTACGATGCTGACATAGTAATCTACGGTGACTGATAATATGGTTGAAGATGTGGTAGATAGGTTAAATTGGATTTTTTCGAGTTCGATGATCAAATGGGTTTTTCTAAAAGTTTGTAGACTTATTTGATTTTTTAGAAAAAATAAAAATATTTCTAATTTAAAATATAAAATTATTTAAAAAATTAAATATCAAAAATAAAATTAAATGACTAAAAACTTATTATTGTATTTTACCTCTGAATCTCTTTCTAATTTGATTTCACAAAATTTTTATAAAATTAAACTAAATAAATATTATAAAGTCTCATAAAAATAAAATTTTAAAGTTATAAAATTAAAATTTATGTATAAATTATCATAAAATATATAATTAAAAAAATATTAGAAAGATATTTATATAATTAAAAGAATATTTTAATGAATATAACATGATAGAGAAAAATAAAATTCACTAAATATGGAATCCAAGTGTTTGAGATTTTTTTAGTATCCTAATATTTATTTATTGAATTTTCTAAGGAATAAAAAATTCGTATCTATAAAATAAAAATAAATAAAATCACATTAAAATTGATATATACAGACATAATAATATAATTATATTGCTAAATAAAATAAAATTCACATTAGAATTCATCTCTAAATTGAATAATCATTTAATAATAACATTTTTAATTACTCTGGTTAATATATATATATATATATATAATAATTTAATTTTAATTTTTAATTTTTTAATATATTTTTTTATATTTGTACAATTTAAATTAAATATTTAAAATTTAAAATATTTTTCTAAGAAAATCGAATAAGCGCTTGAATTAAAAAAAATCAATTTAACTCTCAAACTTGATCATAAAAAAATCATTTAACACATCTGTCATATCATTAGTCATGTCACTAACCATCATGAATTATCACGTCAGTACTATTAATGGTCACATCAGCATCGTAATGATCAACGACGAAAATTATTGGTCAAAGGGTCAAATTGAATCTATTTTCTAAGTTTGAGAGTCACATTATATGTAAAAAAAATATGAGGTTCACATTAATTTTTTGGGTAAACTACTTCAAATACCAATCACCTTTAGGCTCGGGCAAGTTTATGCCACTAACGTTTTAATTTTGTCGATTTTAACACTGACGTTTATGTCTAACTGTAATTATGCCACCCGTCGTTAATCCATTAATAGGACGATGATATGACTCCCTCAACAAAACGACGTCGTTTTGACACGATCGTTTTGATGCTCAAAAAGCTCAAAACGACGTCTTTTTGTTGATGAAAAAATGATTTCAATGAGATTCGAACCATAAACTTTAAAAGTTAAAGCCAAGCACCCAACCAACAAACTGACTTAAAAATTTATTATAAACGTAACAAAATATTGTTTTAACAAGAATGTCGAGTATCAAATTAAAAATCTCCTCCATGCTTTTCAACATTTTCCTAGTAACCAAACATACCCCATACTTTCCCATAACTAAAACTAGAGTTAGCACAATACTCACCTTTCCAAATCTATAAATGAACCGTTTTAACACCGTTTAAAAAAACTGAAAGTTTTACAAAACAAACGAAAACTAACACTATGGCAACAATATCAGTTGGAGTCTCTGCTAAAGATCTTCCTCTCATCATCATCTTCTCCATTATTCTTTCCCTTTACATCAACAACAATAAAAACTCAAATTTTCTCAGTTCATTCCAACGTCATTTTAAAAAAAAATTACTGAGAAAATAAAGAACCCAATTGGGAGGAAGATGAAGGATCCGAAAAATGAAGGAATGAGGGATTAACTAAAAATTTAAAGAATGAGATTTTTTTTATTTATAAAAAGGTGAGAGAAGAACATGGGGAGATGATTAAAAAGCATTAGTTTAACGAGATGCCAAGTTCAAAGTTGTTGATTTGGCTTTCAGGTTCAACACCTAACCTTCCTTGAAGATTTTCAATTCGATACTCACAAAATTTTTAGAGTTTTGTTGAGGAAGAAAGGAATGAGATGGCTATTTGTGTTTATAAAAATTAAAAATTCAAACTATTATTTAACATTTATAATTGATTTGTTAAGATCATAATGAATTTTTAAGTTGACTTGTTGATTGAGTGTTTAGTTTTGGTTTTTAAAAGTCTATGGTTCGAATCTCATAAAAATCATTTTTCATCAACAAAACAACATTGTTTTGAACTTATTGAGTGTCAAAGCGATATTGTCAAAACGACGTTGTTTTACTGAGGGAGTCGCATCATTGCCGTCACAGAATGAAGATGTCATGTCATCGTCCTGTTAATGGATTAACAGCGGGGTGCCATAATTAAAATTAAACATAAACATCAGTTTTAAAATTAACAAAATTGAAACGTTAGTGACACAAGTGAACCTGATCTTAAAGGTGAGTGATATTTGAAGTAGTTTACCCTAATTTTTTTTTAAGTACGAGGGCTACGTTGGATGAAAAAAATATGAAGGTCACATTAGTTTTTTCTTTTTTAAGTATGAGGGTTTCACATACCCTTAGATATATCTTATATGTGGAATATTTTTAAAAAAAAATAAATTTTAAATACATAATAAAAAATTAATGTAATTTATTTTTCAACATGGGAAATTTTTTCCATGGCCAACGATAATCAAATACTCTCTCTACAAACGTTTTTTTTCTTTCAAAATTTCAAATCCCATATATTTTATTTTCTCTACATGAATCTCTTATATAATTCAAAATCACTTTCCGTTTGTTTTTGTTGTAATTGATTTTCCAGAAAATGATTTATAAAAAATGAATTATTATATTTGGAAAACAAATTTTAGAAAGTATTTTTTTAGTGTTTAGATAATGTTATGTAATTCATTTTCCATGATTTAGTAAATTTTCTGAAAATAAATTTTTTGAAATATATCCATTTTTTGAAATTTATTTTTAGTGAAACAAACACAATGAATATTTTATTGATTTTATCTTTTATTTTTCTATCAATTTTATTATTATGGAGAGTTGGCTTCTAAAACATGATTTTTCAGGATCAATATAAGAATTAGCACAAATATCACAAACAACTTTATCATGAATCTTATAGGTCCAAAATTTTATATCTGATATCAATAATATAACTAACACAACAAATTTCATAATCAGATTATTGCTATTTGATTCCATGGACTTCTCTTTTCTTTCAACTGAACAAATAAAAAAGTATCTTTAGAATTTTAAAGATGTGAAATAGGTATGGCGGAAAAGGTGAGATTTTGAAGTTTGGTGGAGATTATAAATTATAAAATCAAGAATCTTGATGAATTCGAAGGAGAAAATTAAAGGAGAAATTTTAATTTTTCATGGGTTTGGAAAATTGAATTACCTAGGGTTAATGTTTAAAAAGAAAATAATGGAAGTTTGATATCATGGAAATGAAAAAGGAAAAGATGAAATATAAAGAGTCTCACCCATTGTTGTCACCCTCGGTGAAAGAAAAGGAAAACGATGAAATAGCTATGGAGAGACGGTGAGGAAGAGATGTGTAAAATGACTTATCAAAAATAAGACAGTAAGTCATTTTACGAGAAAAGCTTGAGATTTTCTTTTGACTTTTAAAATGAATTACTTTGACTCATTTTACTCTATTTTACCAAACATGGGAATAAGGAAAATACTTTTCGTAAAACAAACTACTTCAAACAAACACACCTAGTTTTTCGTTTTCATGAATATCCTGTCAACATCTCCCACTATTAGGGATGTGTAAATTCAGATATCAAATCTGTTAGCTGTATCGATCAACAACGTTAAGAGAGAGTAAATTGACCTTTTTAAGAATTTGGTGAAACCAATCGAAAAAATAAACTTTTTGCACACTGTAGTCACCAATTTTATCCAAAATTAATTTAAAATGAACCAATCAATCAGCTATACCCTGCTGCCACCAAATCCCAACAGCCACCATGCCCCCTATTGCAGCTCCACCAACTCACCATGCCCTACCATGCGAGCATCCATGCCAACTACACCAAATACACCAAGCAAAATGCATTTTTTATTTTATTTTATTTTATATGATGGGTGTAACATGTTAGTATAAAACCAAAAACAGAAACAATTGTAAGGGAGGCTTTTTGTTTTTCAGATTAGAGAAAATACCAATACAAGCAAAAAAAAAGTCTCTCTCGGTTCCAAAAAAAAACCACTGTAACTTTGTTTTTTCAAGAACAATACGAAGCATTCAAGGTTTATTTTATTTCCTTTTTATTTCGAGCTTTAGTTTTTCTCTTTGTTTTTTAGAATCGAATATCTGTAAGTAAAAAAGGGGGTGTTTTTAGTCTTCGGAGCATACCCACGTTCAGTGTCGGTTTCAAAAAAGGGGTGACGAGTAGAGCTTTTTTAGACTTCGAACAACAAAATAAAAATAGTTTTTTATATCGAATAACAACAACTCCACATTTTTACAATAAAAAAATGCAAAAATAAATAGAAAGTAGATCGAGGTCGTACCTGAGTCGTCGGAACGTTGCCAGAGTCCGTGGTAGTCGAACGGTTTCGGTCGGATTTTGGGCGA